TAAGAAATGTGACAAGTTCCAGAGGCACGGCGACATGCACCTCGCCCCTCCTCACGAGCTGAGCATACTGTCGTCCCCGTGGCCGTTCGCTTGGTGGGGTATGGATATCCTCGGGCCCTTCGTGCAAGGGACTTATCAAAATAAATTCCTCATCGTGGCCGTGGATTACTTCACGAAATGGATCGAGGCCGAGGCTCTCGCGAAGATCACCTCGCATAATATCCTCCGCTTCTACAAGAGAAACATCCTCGCCAGATTCGGAATTCCGAGGGCACTGGTGACCGATAACGGCACCCAATTCACCGACCACGGGTTCCAAGACTTTGTCACCAGACTGGGAACAAAACAACACTTCACGTCGGTCGAGCACCCTCAAACCAACGGGCAAGCCGAAGCCGCGAACAGAGTCATCCTCCGGGGACTCAAACGCCGACTCGGCGAAGCAAAGAGGGGATGGGTCGAGGAGCTTCACAGCGTCCTGTGGGCATACCGCACCACGCCCCACTCAACGACGGACGAGACTCCATTTCGACTAACATATGGCACCGAGGCCGTTATCTCGGTAGAAATCATGGAACCTTCTAGATGGACAAAGAACCCCCTCGACGAAGAAATGAACGACGAGGCACTCAGGGACGAACTCGACTTAGTCGAGGAAATCCGATCTGGGGCGGCCCTCCACGAAGCCACCCTAAAACAACGAGTGGCTCTGCGCCACAATGACAAGGTCATCAAGCGCGAGTTCGAAATCGGCAGCCTAGTATTGTGAAGGAACCAGAAAGACTCCCGCGAAGGGAAGCTGGCCGCGAACTGGGAAGGGCCTTATCGCGTCCACGGCACCACTGGTACTGGGGCATACTACCTCGAGCAATTAGACGGAGAGCCACTACCACGACCCTGGAACGCTGCTAAACTAAAGCAATACTATAGTTAAAAACTACCAACACCAAGGACCCTCGACTGTCGACTCCCGCGCCCAGTCAACGAGGAGAAACGTCTGACCCCGTAGAGAGGCCGAGGTACAGGCCCGACCTACGTCCAAACCGCATAACATCGTTCAACAAAACAAGAACAAACGATAGTGCCTGACGTGGACACCTCTACCGAGCTCCACCGTCGAAGTACCTGTAGGGCAGAACACCCAGCTCGCGATGGGCAGTTCACGCCGCGGGCAAATAACCCCGACCGGGTCATATACTCGACCAAGCGGCTCCGCTCCGCATGCCCGACGAATCTCGAAGAACGTCAGACCATCTAAAAGGGTCAAAAAAGAGTCTCTCCCCTCGAATTCACCAGTCAGGCGACTCCGGCCGTCGAGAAGAGGCCGAGCGCATACACGAGCAAAAGACTTAGGCAAATTTGCCAACAAAGTCACAGCCATATACGAGCACGACTCAGGCCCATAACTTAGGCCAATTTTTTCGCAAAAACGTAAAACACAAGCACGGGCAAACAACCAAAAGACTGAAACAAACATTCATTCAAAACGCCCGTAGGCAGCAAATCAAATAAATATAAACCGACCAAGAAGGCCGGCAATGTTTAGGAAATACAACGAACGGGCACGCAGACCCAAAAAATATGAACGGGCACGCAGGCCCAAAATAAACATCAACAAGGCGCGCAGGCCCATCATTATCTCACAACTCAGCTTCCCCGGAGCTATCACCACCAACAACAAGAGAGTCGGGCGAAGGCACGACCTGACCATCAATAATCTGAGACATGTGACTCACCCCTTCAGTGTTCAGGCCGGGATTCAACAGGGAAAGTTAGCTGACCGCCACTTCAAAGCCGTCCGCCATAGCTCCGACACAGTCCCCCTCGAGAAGTTGGATACGAGCGACCAGTTCTGATCGACTCCTCAAAGGAGCTGTATCCTCCGACTCGTCCTCGGCAGGAAGCATAGCGGCCTTCAGGTCCTCGATCTCCCTGGCGAGGCGCCCGTTGTCAATTTCCAAACGTTCCCGATCCGTACGAAAAAGGTCTCTCTCCTCGACCAGCTTCCCCAAGTTCTCTTTCTCCAGAGCTAGCAACTCTGTCTCCGCCGCCAGCAGCTCGGCTTGCTCGCGGAACATCTCCTCGGAGCGCTCCAGAGCCGCCTTCAACTTTCGCGAACTCGAGGTGAGGGCGGCTTTCTCCTGTTCCAACTCTTTGATTCGGTCAGAGTCCTCCCCCCCCTCGGCCAGCACAACAGCCATCTCGGCCATCTTTACCAGCCCGACCATGTTGGCGGCCAGGTGCCTTCTCCGGTTTTCCTTGCTCATCCGCCTGATAGTTTCGGCTTCATCGGCACTCACGGACAAGGGAAATCCCTCAAAGAAACCCTCTTCTTTAAAGCAAGGGGGCAACCCGAAGGACCTCACAGCGCTGGAGTCCTCACCGACCTCCGGTCGACTCTCCACCCGATTCCTCTTCCTCTGTATCAGGTCGGCGTGTGGCTCGACCTCCTGGACGTCTGGGATCCCTCCCGAAGCAGCTCCCGAGCTAGGCGGCGAGTCCACCCTCGTCGCCTGAGAAGTGCCCGGACTATGTGGCGGGCCCATCCTCGTCGCCTGAGGAGCTCTCACCACCCTCTTATTCACCTTCCTGTCGCAAGACAACTTCAAGAGCCTCTCTCTTCGCCCGACCATCAAACCTGCACGAAAGAACCCGGGTTAGTGCCGAGCAAATAAACAAACTCTAAACCTGTTGTGGTAACCGGCTTCACAACACACCACTTGTCTTTAAAACCCCGCACGGAATCCATGTACATCCTGAAAAGTCTCTTCGACTATTTCAGGGAAACCCAGCTATGCTTACCTCCCCGGGATTGGCGCTGTAGGTGGAAGACTCTGAAGAAGAGGGGTATGGTCGCCCCAATCCTTAGAAAACGACAAGTTAGCTCAAACGCCCGGATGAAAGCGAGCGAATTTGGGTGAAGCTGCGACGGGGCCAGCCCCAGATGGCTGAAAACCCCGACCTGAAAATCGCTGAAGGGCAGCTGTAACCCAAGGTCCTTGAAGGCGATTTCATACATAGGGAAACTATACTCGGGGAACATCGAGCAAATTCGAGCGGTGAGAGTTGGCCGAGTGACGACGAAATTCTTCTGGAAACTGGGTTGGTTGTGGCCCGCCTCGAGGATAGTGTATGCCCTCCGACTACGTCGACTATAGACCGAAGCTATCCCTCTAGGCTCGGCACCCACCCATTCCAGCAGAGGGTCCTCTATGGTGTCAACCAAATTCACATTTTCATCAGCACTTTGTTCTTCCACCTCGGGGCGTCCTGAAGAACACAGTTCGTCCGCCATGGTTACCTACAAAGCACGGGAAACCAATCAATTGGGCGCGAAACGACACGCTCGCCATAACGGACGAGATGAAGGGCACGACAAACCACGTCGCTCCACGCGCGACCACAAAGTTGGTGTTTCGGAACAAAAAACAGCAGCCATCTCCCCGACTCCCAGATACCTCGACAGGTCCTCCTACAAGTCGCCTAAATAAACTGACATCTCGGCCACTCATGAATACGTCGACCCAGGGTATGAACATGGCGAGCAACATCATAAAGCCCAGAGCTAGAGCTATGAGTCTACCAGGCACGATCACGAATTAGGCGCCCTGGATCATGGAGACCCCGGGCAGCACTGCAGATTAAAACCTAAACTATGTATTTACCGGTCACAAACATGCATTTGCCGGCCACACGCATGGATTTGTCGAGCTAAATATAAATCTTCCGGGCTAGTCCCAGGCGTACAATCCCTAAACGTCTAAAAATAATGAAAAATCATACATCACAACAGAAAAACAAAGGAGACAAGTCACTTACTTGGAATCAAGAAGGAAATTTGACGACGGAGAAAGGGAATCAGCGACGGAGATCGCGACGGTCCTATAAGTATATGGGAAGAACAACAACAGCAGAAACAGAGTGAAGAGGAGAAGCGCGAAGAGTGAAAACACGTTCTGGGGCCCAAGGACCCTATTTATAGTGATGACGTGGAATACCAAACGTCACCTCGGGCAACCACGGGTTTCCCTCCTCGACGCACAGCTCCCTAGGCAATGATGACCCTATCCTCCATAGGGTGGCAGCACGGTTCCCAAAAGAGGCCTCGCGTGCCCGACAGACGCAACCTGCTGAGAAATCCCTCGAGCATTCCTCGGAGGGAACCTGCCCACGAGCGCGATACGGGGAAACCCCTCGAGTATCCCACGAGGAACTACATCTCTTGTCCGGATACGGGGACCCCGCGACGGAAGCGACCTCAGATCAAGTCATGATTCCTAACCCAAGGAACCACGACTTGGGGGGCTCCTGTTCTGGACTGGGCCGGGCTGGCCCAAAAGCAATGATAAAGGCCCAATCCAAACGGACTTGCTAGGGGTCACGCCGACCAAGGGACCACAACCATGCCTGACACACTTCACTAGAGCGACATCCTCGACCTCATACTATCCAGCTCGACCTCAGCTCGAGCTCCCCTCCTAGGGCAGACTCGGTCCACTGCACCTTCACCTGGATCCCGAAAAGACCGCATTCTTGTCCGCCCACACTTCACGCAGGACATCCAGGAAGGAGACCACGTGCGGGTCTCCACTACTCACGTAGAACCTGGCAGTTCCTTCATTGGGCCAAACCTGCCCGGCCCAATGAAGGGGCCTTGGCCCAGCGTTGGGGGCTATAAATACCCTCTGTTCCCAGAGGGTCAGGTATTCATCATTTTACCCATACTCTTACTATTGCCTGCTCATGCTCTTACTTACTTCAGCATCGGAGTGCCTTGCAGGTACCCCCACCTCGTTCAAAACTTCAGCTCAGAGCCAGCCGTGACAGTTCAAGTCTGATCAGGTTAGATCAATTTTTAATACATAAACATTAAATCTCTTTTAAAATTATTTAGTATTTTTTATTAAAAGGAGGATATTCCATAAAAATACCCTTAAATATAAGATTATTTTTTGATAGAATATTTGAGATATTTTTAGGAATTGTTTTTTTCTTTCTCTGGTTCGTTGTTATACATATCACACTTCTTCGTTACACTTTCTTCTTCTATCTCTCACAACGAAGCGAATCACCATTCTCTCTATCTCTCAGGTTCGATTTTCTCTTCACTTTTTCCTCTCTCCAATTCATTCCTCGCAAATTCTCTCTCTATCTTCTTCCCAAACAAATCGGGTTTTATTCTTTTTCTTTGCAGTTTCTTCAACTTCGATTTGTTTCAGATCTATACTATTTTTGATTTTTTTCAACTCTTTCTCTGTTTATTAGATTCCTCTTCTTTTCCATTCGATTTCTGTAACCACCGTTCAAAACGATGTAGTTTTGTTGACTTACTATTTATATTCCCGATGTGATTTTTGTCTTTCTTTTCTTGGATTAATCGCTTCTTTCTTTCGCTTACCGAATTTGTTATTCTCTGAAGAATTTTTTCTGTAATAAGAGTTTCTAAATATATCAACCAAACAAGTTATTTGTTCTCATCAATTTGATTGTGATATTTCATATTTAACTAACTTGAATGCTAACTTGAATGCTTTGATGTTTCAGTGGATTATATAAAGACTAGTCAAAATGGTAAGTTGGTGAACATTACACTATGTCTTTTTTGTTTGTTTTAATTTTTAATTATGATTTTACTTTGATTGATTTTTTATCTTCCTATTTACAGGTGAAGTTCACAGCGGATGAGTTACGTCGCATTATGGACTACAAGCACAACATTAGAAACATGAGTGTGATCGCTCACGTTGACCACGGTATGGATTAAGAGATGGTTTTTATATTTCTATAATGCAATGTACAATTTCGTGATTGTTGTGATATAACTGAGCTTTGGTGTTTGCTTGAGAATTTATTCTTTAATTATTTTTGCAGGAAAGTCGACTCTAACAGACTCTCTAGTTGCTGCTGCTGGGATTATTGCCCAGGAAGTAGCAGGTGATGTCCGTATGACGGACACACGTGCTGATGAAGCTGAGCGTGGTATAACAATCAAGTCTACTGGTATCTCACTCTACTATGAAATGACTCCCGAGTCTCTCCAGAATTATAAGGGGGAGCGTAATGGAAATGAGTATCTCATAAATCTCATTGATTCGCCTGGGCACGTCGACTTTTCATCGGAGGTTACTGCTGCACTGCGTATTACTGATGGAGCCCTTGTGGTTGTTGACTGTGTGGAAGGTGTATGTGTCCAAACTGAAACTGTGCTGCGACAAGCCCTTGGAGAAAGGATCAGGCCTGTTCTTACAGTTAATAAGATGGACAGGTGCTTCCTTGAGCTTCAGGTTGATGGCGAGGAGGCGTACCAGACCTTTCAAAGAGTGATTGAAAATGCTAATGTGATTATGGCTACATATGAAGATCCACTTCTCGGTGATGTTCAGGTGTATCCAGAGAAAGGTACAGTTGCTTTTTCTGCTGGTTTGCATGGTTGGGCTTTTACTTTGACAAACTTTGCAAAAATGTATGCCTCAAAATTTGGTGTTGATGAGTCCAAGATGATGGAGAGGCTATGGGGAGAAAATTTCTTCGATCCAGCCACAAAAAAATGGACCACCAAGAATACTGGTTCAGCTAGTTGCAAGCGTGGGTTTGTTCAGTTCTGTTATGAGCCTATTAAGCAGATCATTAACACTTGTATGAATGATCAGAAGGCTAAGTTGTGGCCAATGCTTACAAAGCTAGGAGTCACCATGAAGTCTGATGAGAAGGACCTGATGGGTAAGCCATTGATGAAACGTGTCATGCAGACCTGGCTTCCAGCAAGTACTGCACTCCTAGAAATGATGATCTTCCATCTTCCTTCACCATCAACGGCCCAGAGGTACCGTGTTGAGAATTTGTACGAGGGTCCCCTTGATGATCAATATGCAAATGCTATCCGAAACTGTGATCCTGACGGACCTCTCATGCTTTATGTCTCAAAGATGATTCCAGCATCTGATAAAGGAAGGTTTTTTGCTTTTGGCCGTGTATTTGCCGGTAAGGTGTCAACAGGTTTGAAGGTCAGAATTATGGGACCAAATTATGTCCCTGGGGAGAAGAAAGATCTATATGTGAAAAGTGTTCAAAGAACTGTCATTTGGATGGGAAAGAGACAGGAGACTGTTGAGGATGTGCCCTGTGGTAACACTGTTGCTTTGGTTGGTTTGGATCAATTTATCACAAAGAATGCTACATTGACAAATGAGAAGGAAGCTGATGCCCACCCTATCCGAGCTATGAAGTTTTCTGTCTCTCCTGTTGTGCGTGTTGCTGTTCAGTGCAAGGTTGCTTCAGATCTTCCTAAGCTAGTTGAAGGTCTCAAACGTTTGGCTAAGTCAGATCCTATGGTTGTTTGTACTATTGAGGAGTCTGGAGAACACATTATTGCTGGTGCAGGAGAGCTTCATCTAGAGATCTGTTTGAAGGACTTGCAGGATGATTTCATGGGTGGAGCTGAGATCATTAAATCCGACCCTGTTGTGTCCTTCAGGGAGACTGTTCTAGATAGATCAATCCGCACAGTGATGAGTAAATCACCAAACAAGCACAACCGGTTGTACATGGAAGCAAGACCTTTGGAGGATGGGCTTGCAGAAGCCATTGATGAAGGCACAATAGGACCAAGGGATGATCCCAAGGTTCGCTCCAAAATCTTGTCTGAAGAGTATGGTTGGGACAAGGACCTTGCCAAGAAAATCTGGTGTTTTGGACCTGAGACCACCGGACCCAACATGGTGGTTGATATGTGTAAGGGAGTTCAGTATCTTAATGAAATCAAGGATTCTGTGGTTGCTGGATTTCAATGGGCATCAAAAGAAGGTGCTTTGGCCGAAGAAAACATGAGAGCAATCTGCTTTGAAGTATGTGATGTTGTCCTGCACACTGATGCTATCCACAGAGGAGGTGGTCAGATCATCCCTACTGCCAGGAGAGTCTTCTATGCCTCACAGCTGACAGCCAAACCCAGGCTTCTGGAGCCTGTTTACATGGTGGAAATCCAAGCTCCCGAACAAGCTCTTGGTGGTATCTATAGTGTTCTTAACCAGAAACGTGGACACGTTTTTGAAGAAATGCAGAGGCCCGGTACCCCACTTTACAACATAAAAGCATACCTCCCTGTTGTTGAGTCCTTTGGATTTTCCAGCACATTGAGGGCTGCGACATCTGGGCAGGCTTTTCCCCAGTGTGTCTTTGATCATTGGGAAACAATGTCCTCAGATCCCTTGGAGGCTGGTTCACAAGCTGCACAGCTTGTTACCGACATTCGCAAGAGGAAGGGCCTCAAGGAGCAGATGACTCCACTCTCAGAGTTTGAAGACAAGCTTTAAATCATTTGTACTATTTTATATCTATGAACTAGGCTGTTATGAAAACTTTGTTGACCTAGTTTTAAAAGTTCTGTACCTTGAATTTTATTTTTCGATTTGTCTGTAAGTGTTGTACTTTTAATTATTCATCTTTGCATCAATGTAATTTGTAGGATTTGCATTGATGTTGGATAGAATTACTATGTTTTAAACAGATTTGTTTGCTTCTCTTTAGTGTTCTGCTTATGTTATCATCTTTTGATATTCACAAAGATCTGCCATCCTTTTGGCACTCTTAATTAGTTTCTCTTAATTGGGTATTGTTTGACAGGGGAATCTCTAGTTCATAAACATTATGCTGTGGGGTCCTCATGGAATTCATATAATTTCTTGCACTTATATATATCAATTGTCAACTGATGTCACATGCATATCCATCTATCTCTTTTCTTTTGAACTAACCCTCAATTGTTCAAGATATAATTTTTCTTCGTATGTTTTCATTATTTATTTTATGCAGTATATGTGATGTGTCAATCTATTTAAAGTCATGTATTTGATTTAAAATGTCTTCATTTCAGATAAAAAGAAGTAAAATAATAACTGATTAGGCATTTTGCTCACTTCAATTTACTGAGATGATTTACTTTGTAATTTCTATCAGGGCGTGTTTCACTTCAACCTTAAGCTTTTGACATATCTAGTCTTTGGCAAAATAAAATTTGTAACTAAAAAAAAGACTATCGGTGTAACTAGAATAATAGAATTCTGTGCATATTCAGAGCCATCGCTGAACCCAGTAACATTGGATATAACAAGAATAACCGAACTTTTTTCACACTTGATATGATGCTTACATGAATCAAAAGATGCATTAACAACCTTGTAATAAACCAAGTTCAAAGATATGATATTTATTTTTTAATCTTTCATTACTTGTGCTTTTAGGGGCAGTCTGTGCACATTTGCAAATCACTAAGATAAGACTTTACCATCCTCTCTAAAATGGTAGCTATCTCATATTTCTCTTCAACATTATATTCCTAATTCAATCTTCCATGATAACAACATTATATCCTTCACCGCACTATTTTCCACTTGAATATCATTTGGGGCCATACCATCTATTTCATGATAAATAATATCTGCAGGGAGGGGATATTTTTATTTTTCAACTTTATAGAACATAATGTATTGTGATGAAGTTGGAATCACTTTGACTTTCTTTTACATGGAACAGTCCACAGTTCCACACAGCTTTGCATTTGGGAGAAATTCCCACAAACACAATGGAACAATGCATACTTGAAGAGTTGTGACACTTGTTCTATAAGTTCATTTCTTTTTGCATTGAACACTTAGTTCGTTTGGCATGCTGATTGTAATCAATCAATATTCTAATTGAATGTATACATGTCGAAATATCTTAATAAGACATTCTCACAATATTGTTTAGAAGCCACAAATAATCCTTCTGATTTTCAATGTTGAAATATCTTTGGAATTCATATCATTTGAGCTTTATAAATTTACAGAATCCCTCAAATTATTGGAAATGCTATCAGAAAAATGAATTATTTCACCAGTAATGACACAAGACACTATATTTAAACCAAAGCTAGTAATCTAACAAATATAAATAACCTTATGATTCATCAAACAAAACAAGTAAATTCTCAAACACAACAGAGACAAAGGAGGAAGCTTTCACCTCTTCCAGAGCATTAAATTTTTCATCCTTCACCGACTTCAGAAGGTGTCTTGGCCACAATAGACAACGCATGAAGTCCAGACTCCAGCTCATCTTGAAGCAAGTTATAAATAAGCCTATGCCTCTTAACCAAACTCTTCCCTTGAAACTCTTTAGAAACAACTTTAACATTGAAATGTGTTTCACCATTGCTCCCTCTAACACCAGCATGTCCAGCATGTTGATAAGACACGTCTTCAACTTCCAACTCAATAGGATGAAGTTCCTTTTCAAGCTTTTCCTTTATCCTCTTCCCTCTCCCTTCCAACTTAACATTCTCATCAACCTTAGAACTAAAATCAACACCTAAACTTGGAGTTACAGAAGGACCACTTGAATTCTCATCAAGGCTATCATCTCTGAAATCAGAATTTCCACTTGAGCTAAATTCAGAAGTACCCTTCTCAGCTTCCACATAGAGCAAAAGTGCTTTTTTCTGCATTAATTTGAGCATATTCAAAAACCCATTATTTCTAGAAGGGGTTAAACTCTGTTGCAATCCAAGAAGCATTACAAAATCGGGTGTGACCCGGATAATTTCGTTAACGGGTCGACCTGAAAAGCCTTGAACTAGTAAAGCAGCAAGGCCTTTGGTGAGAACAGAATCAGAATCAGCTTCATAGACAACATTTTTGTCACTGTCCATGTAGGCTCGGACCCAAACCTGAGAAACACAACCTTCCACTTTGTTTTCTTTAGTTTTAAATTGGGGTTCGAGGGGTTTGAGGGTTTTTCCGTAGAAGAGAAGCTGTTCGTATTTGGCTTTGGGTTCTTGTACGGATTGGAAGAGGTTTACAATTTCTTGAAGCTTTGGAGGGAGTTCTTCGATGGGTTGAAGGGAAGAAGTGGATGGTGGTGATGATGACGACGACCACAGTGGTGATGGTTTTGTTGGGAGTCTTTGGAAGGTGATGGGTTTGGAAGAGAAAAGGGTGTTTGTGGGTTTAATGAAGAAAGTAGAGTTGTTTCTGTTGAAGATGGAAAGTGGGAATTTGGTTGTGAATAATCGAAATGAACATGAGAAAAGGGAATTGGTTGACATCATTGTAGATGGTATGCGCATTGTATTTGCCGCAGTTGGTTGTGAGATAGAGAAAGTGAAGGGCATTATTCTAGGCTTTTTCCTTGCCCAAACAAAATCTAAACATACCCGAAGCCCAACTTCTAGGCTCTTTTCATGAAATGCCAATAATGAGCTGATATTACGATCTTACCTGCAATCAACACATAGGAAAATTAGCGTGGTTTGGTTTGAAAGTTTAGTCTGTTTATTTGGAAAAAAGTAATATACCTCAGTTTTAACCAGAAACGTGTCTTAAAATTAGTTTGACGACACAGCAGGTAATATTATACTAACAAAGTTATCATCAATTTGTTAAAATATTGTAAGCAGGGTAAAGAAATTTATACTAGAGAAACTCATTCATCTAAAAATTGATCAATTTTGAAAAAAAAGAAAATAAGGAAGTTAGGGTTTTAAGCGAAAATAGGGGCGTTAGGTTTAAAGAATAGAAGACGCCACGGCGGCGGCAGTAATATGACGGCGCGGTGGTTCTGTTCCGAAAAACGGTGAATGAAAACGAAATTGGAAGAAAATAAATGAAGCTATAACAAAGAATAAGACCTTACAGCGCCGGAGCTCCTCTCGATTTGGCGTCGGTTTTGAACGGTGATTAAACAGTGAAAATTGGTTAGTTTTCGCGGGTGAGGATAAGAAACAAAAAGGAGAAAACCTAGATATACTTCCGAAGCGGATCCTCTAGCGTTGGCGACAGAAAGGTAGAGTGCACTTCAAATATTGTCGTTCGTCGGATTAATCTCACGCTTAGTAATCAGCCACGTGTTCATTTTAATTTAATACCGGAATACCAACATTGTTGTTTGCACCAATTTGTTTACTTCTCACCTCATAGTGATGTTGTTTTATGATTTTGAAAAATTCTTACTTACAAAATTAATTGGTCGAGTCGTGAATAGATTGTTCTGTTTAAATTCATCTCTCTATAAAAGTATTGACATGTTCTAACAATTTTAATTTGGGTTAAATAAATTTGTGCTTCTTATAAATATAATTTCGCTTTTAGTTCTTATAAAATTTTCCTTCAAACAATGATCTTCATAATTTTCTCCATCCATAAATTTGGTCTCTCTTGTTAACTCTCATTAACCGATGCTGACGTGGCATGCCACGTGAAAGAAAAAAATTGAATAACATCTTAGATTGTAGGGTTATAAACCTCCTCTAAAAACTCAAAATATTCTATTCTAATAAGACAAAAATTTTAGAGACATCTCATCAAACACCTTAGTTGCACCTTTCAAAATTACAACATTGTTCTCAATCAAAGATGAAAAAATCTGTCCATACAGAGATCATGAGAACCAAGCACAATGTAAACAACTTTTGCTTTAATATAATCATATGGAGTACAAATAATTCTAATAGTCATCTTTGTGAACACTATGGTTGAAAAGAAGAAGGATGCAATAGCCAAAGACTACAAGAAAAAAAAACAAAATTTTAATTATATAATTAAGATTTCATATTAAAAATTGTTTTCGTTATAGTACTGTTCCATCTCAAATTCATATTCATAAGTTATTAGGGTCAGAAGTAATGTTGCTCAGAAGCAGTAAAGCTTCTGAGGTTATTAGCCAGAAGTAGAAGTTTATGAGGTTACGCTCAGAAGTATGTTTAGCTTCACGGGTTCTAGTTATATAGTTTGCTTAGTTATTAAGTTTACCTTTTGTTAGAATCTACATGGCAATTTATTTTATGTATAAATAGACTAGTGGTAGCTGTCATTTTGTAATAATTAAAATTCCTTCTTACAACTTCATAGTCGTCATTCCTTTTGTTCTCATAAATATATTTTCATTTCTTTTGTTCTTAACCTTGTGCACTAACAATTGATATGTAGAGCTTCGATTCAGATCTACAGGGAAACACAAGAAACACGAGTGAAACGATGAGGTGTTGTGTGATTGATTTTGGTTCTTGAATAAAATCGGAAGAGAATCATATTTTCTGATTATGCGGGATTAGGAAATGAAATTCTGGCTGCAGATACTCAATGTCACGTTCAATGTTATGACACCGTATCTGACTTATTATATGACAGTAAATACAAAAGCAATAAAGAACACAGTCAATTGTTTACCCAGTTCAGTGTGCAACAACACCTACTCTGGGGGCTACCAAGCCAGGGAGGAAATCCACTATAAGAGATGTTAATTCAGGAATAAACCAACCAGTTTATCTCCTTCACTTAAGACCTACCCAATGCAATTCCAATCTAAGTACAACTTAAACCTGAGTTCCTACTCACTCCCCCTCAATCACAGCAGTGATACATAAACCAATTTGACTTAAGAATTGATGAAGACACTCTTCAAAAACAAACACTTGATTAAGCTTCACAGCTTTTTAATCAAGCAACACAATCACTCGTGCTTCACAGCTTTGAGTGATGCACACAACTAACTTGACTCTGCTTCACAACTTTAGTCAAGGAACATTCAAACACTCTTGCTTCAAAGCTTTGAGTGCTACACAACCCTTACAATTAGAAACATATTCCAAGGCACTTATCACAATGATAATTGCTTGGAGTACAATAATCAAATCTATACAGATTACAAATGTTCTTCTGATCAATAAAAGGGATGTCTTGAAAAACAGCAGCTCTGTTGAATATATAGCAGCTGCAACTTCAGTTAGGGTTTCCACAAAAACCTAGGGTTAATTCCGTTTGACCTAAAGACCAGGTCACAGGGCTTTATTAACCAGGTTAGGGTTGAGCTAGGTTACCCCTCAGAAAACGCAGGATTCTGTTCAGGAAAGACTGAGTTATTTTCCTGAAAAAACTCAGACTTATCCAACCTGCAAACCTGTTAGTTCAGAACAGGATGTCATAACATCTGTTATGACATCTGAGAAAACCTGTCTACTGATTTAGCAAAATGTGATCATTTTGCAAAATGCTCAGATACACACTTATAAACATCAGTACTTGAATTACAATATTTTTCTGCAAAGGTACCTAATGAGTCAGTACAAACTGAACTAGAATGTTATGACATCAGTCATGACATTCACACATACACTTGAGATTTACCAAAAATGCAAGCCAATACCTAAACACCTACAAACTCCCCCTTTGGCAGATTTTTGGCTAAAGACCCTAAGCAATCAGAGATAGATAGCAGCAGAAATAAGTGACAGCAGAAAAATAGAATGTCAAGTATGTCAAGTACTAATTAAGTAAGTACCAAAATATTCTCCCCCTCTTTAGCCACAAATGGGCCAAAGATACATGTTCATAAAATTATACAGTTATCCAAAAAAATAATAAGAGCAGCAGCAGAAAACAACTGAATACACTTCCAAACTCCACCAGATATCAGCACCAACCAGCAACACCACCAAACAGCAACCAACCTTCAAGCACTGTCATCAGATCCAGAGGATTCGGGCTTCTTTCTTTTCTTGTGAGCAATGTCAGCATTCTTCTCTTTGTTTGATGTCTCAACATTCTTAGAGACATCTGGATTTGTTTCAGCATTTGAGCTTTCTTGGTTCAGAGGAACAGAAATGCCAGGAACTGAGTGGTTCTCGTTCAGAATTCTTGAAACAATTTTTGCTATTGCTTGATTAACATAGGCTATCCCTTCCCTATTTGCAATTTCAGGGGGAAGTGAAGAAGAAGGATGAGATGGATTACCAGAGGCAGAAGCTTGGGGCTTTCCTGCATGTCTTGTTCTCAACTCTTTGACCTTGGTGGGGTTAGTTCCCACTTTTCTACGAGAAGAGATCTCCAGAACGTCAGAGTCCAGACAAGAAGAGATTGTCCTAGAATCTTGATCAGAGGAAGAGGTTGAAATAGTCGTATTGGATGATGATGGTGTTTGAGACATTTTGACAGTCTTAGAGGACCAACAGCAACTGAGGAGAAATTTCTGATTGAGAGACTGGGTTTTGATGAGGAGACGAGAGGGGAAGGAAGCAAGGGAGTGTCTATTCAACTTCTTGTAGGAAATGAGAAAATACAATTTTAAACCAATCAGAACAGGCATAACTCCTATGATCCTTGTTTTAAGCAAAATTAATTGCTACAATTCCTCATGTTGGCAAATACCCAGCTTACCCCTTAAGTTTTCAAATTGATTTGCATCCAGAGCCTTGGTAAAAATGTCAGCCAGTTGTAGCTCAGTGGCAACATGTTCCAATTTGATTGTCTTCTCTTCTACAAGGTCTCTGATAAAGTGATGTCGTATGTCAATATGTTTTGTTCTGCTATGCTGAATGAGATTCTTGGATATGTTGATTGTACTCAGATTGTCACAGTACAATGTCATAACATCTTGTGTGACATTATACTCAGTGAGCATCTGTTTCATCCATATCATTTGAGAGCAGCTACTACCAGCTGCAATGTATTCAACTTCAGTAGTGGAAAGAGACACACAATTCTGTTTCTTGCTGAACCAGGAAACCAGATTACTTCCCAAGAAGAAACATCCTCCAGAGGTGCTTTTTCTATCATCAGCACTACCAGCCCAATCAGCATCACAGTATCCAGTCAGAGCTGGTTCACAGCCATGAGTATACATCAATCCATAGTTGTAAGTACCACTTACATACTTCAAAATTCTCTTCACTTGATTGATATGACTGACTTTGGGATCAGCTTGGTATCTAGCACAAACTCCAACTGCAAAGGCAATATCAGGTCTGCTGGCAGTTAAGTACAACAAGCTTCATATCATGCTTCTGTACAGACTTTGATCCACCTTAACCCCACTTGAATCTTTGGAAAGCTTTAGATGAGTAGGAGCAGGAGTCCTTTTGTGACTTGCATTCTCCATACCAAACTTCTTTACAATATTCTTAGCATACTTGCTTTGAGATAAGAAGATTGAGTCCTCCATCTGTGAGACTTGTAGTCCAAGAAAATAAGTTAGTTCTCCCATGAGACTCATTTCAAATTCAGCTTGCATCTGGTCAGCAAAGTGTTTAACCATATGTTCTGACATTCCTCCAAACACTATGTCATCAACATATATTTGGGTAACCATCAACTTCCCTCCTTCAGTTTTGACAAAGAGAGTTTTGTCCAAACCTCCTTTTCTGTAGCCTTTGTCTGAGAGAAACTTTGTTAACCTGTCATACCATGCTCTAGGAGCTTGTTTCAGGCCATATAGAGCTTTTCTCAATTTGTAGACATGATCAGGGTGGGTTGGATCCACAAAACCTTTAGGTTGTTCCACATAAGCTTCCTCATTTAAGTACCCATTTAGAAAGGCACTTTTCACATCCATCTGAAATAACTTGAACTTCAGAAGACAAGCAATTGACAACAAGAGTCTGATTGATTCCAGCCTGGCTACAGGTGCAAAGGTTTCATCAAAATCAACCCCTTCAACCTGGGTGTATCCTTGAGCAACAAGTCTTGCCTTATTTCTGGTGACAACTCCTTCAGCATCTGACTTGTTCTTGAATATCCATTTTGTCCCAATGATGTTAGTTCCTTCAGGTCTAGGAACCAGTTCCCAAACTTCATGTTGCTTGAATTGGTTCAGTTCATCTTGCATTGCACCAATCCAATATTCATCAGTTAAGGCTTCCTTGACATTTCTTGGTTCCATTTTGGACACAAAACAAGAGTTTGAGATGATTTCTCTAGATCTTGTGATGACTCCACTATTGGGATCTCCTATGATGAGCTCTTTTGGATGATCCTTCTGAATTCTGATGGAAGGGATCTTGCTAGCTTCCTTTGATTCAGATTCTGTTGTGGTGGAGTTGGGTAGGTCATTCTGTTGGGTTGAAGTCTCAAAGAATGTCTCAACAGTACAAGGAACATCTATTTCTTCATGATAGTCATCAATTATAACATTTATTGATTCCATCATGGTTTTGGTTCTGGAGTTGAATACTCTATAAGCTCTGCTGTTTGAGGAGTATCCTAGAAATATGCCTTCATCACTTTTGGGGTCCAGTTTTCTTCTTTGTTCACGATCAGACAGAATATAGCATTTGCTGCCAAACACATGGAAGTACTTCACAGTTGGTTTTCTTCCTTTCTAGAGTTCATATATGGTGGATGAGGTTCCCTTTCTCAAGGTGACCCTGTTATGAACATAGCAAGCTGTATTCATAGCTTCAGCCCAAAAATACATAGGAAGTCCTTTGGCATGTAACATTGCTCTGGCAGATTCTTGTATGGTCCTGTTTTTTCTTTCCACAACTCCATTTTGCTGAGGTGTTATAGGAGAAGAAAACTCATGACTGATTCCTTCTGAAGAACAGAAGTCATCAAACTTGCTGTTTTCAAATTCCTTGCCATGATCACTTCTGATTCTGACAATACATCCTTCCTTCTCTCTTTGAATTCTCTTGCACAGTTCTCTAAAAACTTCAAATGCATCTGATTTTTCCCTAATGAAATTAATCCAGGTGAATCTGGAAAAATCATCCACAACCACATAGGCATAT